CAGCCTCCGCAGCAGCAGGGGCATGCAGGGAGCGTAGGCGCCCTGGGCTCGGGCCGCCTGGCTCCCCCCAAGCGGCACCCGGTTCCTGCTGGTCTCGGCCAGCAGGTGCGGGGCCCCAGCTGAGCCCAGTCCCTTGCATCTCCTCTGCGGCAGTGCCCCCCGCTCGCGTCCTCCTGGGCGGCCTGAGAGGAGGAGTGGCCCCCGGGCAAGCGGGCGAGACTCTGAGGTGAAGAGGCTGCTGGCCCTGGCGCGGCCTGAGCGCTGGAGACTGACAGATACCTGCCCCTGCCCCATCCCGGTACCGCCTGCCCCCCAGCCCAGTGAGCGTTACCTGCCCCACCAGCTTCAGTGCCCTGCCCCATACTGTCAGCCACCCCAAGCTCACTGTGACACCAGCACCCCTTGGCAAAGGGCCCCGTGATCTTCACAAACAGCTGTCACCGCAGGCCTGACAAACTCACTGCACCCCACATGTGTCTTACAGGGCACTTACCCACAAAGAGGAATGTGGAAGGGATCTACACAAAGCTGGTAACTTGTCAAGAGTGAGAATCTTTGTGAGATGTGTGCATGGGTAATATTGAAGGAATAATGTATTTACCTTAAAAGTCTGCTTTACAGACTTGGAGTAGAAATTAGTCACCAGGAGATAATGGCCCTTTGGGGCAAGGGGGATTTGTCACCCTGTCTAACGTGGCTGGCAAGGCTCAATTGTTTAGCTTTGCACAATAGTAAGACTTTGAATGGGACACCACCAGAGGCAATGGCAAACAATTGAAACACCTTAAAGGTAAAAAAGAAACATTACAACAGCCGTTACCCCGTTCTGACAGGCTGTTTATAATGCTAAGTTTACTAGTTTTCGGAGGTTGTCGGGGGTGGGGGTGTGTGCAAGGTGGAAGTTTTGCCTAGGGCGCAAAATATCCTTGCAGCAGCCCTGTGTTCGGGTGCCCTCTATGAGGCTCAGTGAGCATAACCTGAAGTGCCTAGTGATCAGGAAAGCACCTGGCTGAGACTTCCCAGACTTGTTTCACCCACAGGTCAAGGACACCCTGCTCCATCTCTTGGGGTGGCTGGGCGTATATCTGGGGCTGGCTCCCATGGCACAAATGCCTCCCCATGCCCGGTGAAGCAGGTACCTGGCTGATGCGGTTGAACCCATACTGCTTGAATCTTTCATCATAGGGTGGCACAGAGTTGGCACTGATGTAGAAGGGCTCCCAGGGGTCCCTCCACTCCACGGTGTAGGCAATGTTCAGGGAACTGCCTGGAGGCAGATTCAGCCAGCGTGAGTAGTTGGTCGGGGCCTGGCAGCGTGGGCAGAGCTCCTCGTAGAACGGCCGGATCTCCCCCACCTGATACAGCTGCAGCAGCTCGGCCTTGGCACCTGGGAGGCGCCGGGTGTGCCGGATCTCAAAGGCGGGCACCACGAAGACGCCGGGTGGCCCCTCAGCACCCAAGTTTGCAGCTAGTGCCAGGAAGGCCTCACGCAACCCCTCGCTGGGCAGCATGTCCACGTCCAGCACGAGCGTGTAGTGCCCCGTGGCCGCCCCCCGTGCCACATTGCGCAGCAGGTTGTTGGGGTACGAGGCGTTGGCGCCCAGGGCATAGTTACGCCGGCCCGCCCCGGCCCGGGCCAGCTTGGCGAAGACATCCCCACAGGCCTTGAGGCGGGCAAACTCCGCCCGGTCCTCTAGCTCGGGGAAGGCGGCCAGGTCCCCCGAGTGGCACACCAGGTGGGCCCTCACCAGCTGCCGCACTGGCCCGCACAGCGCCCCCAGGGCGTAGAGCATCAGCGTGGCCAGCCGCACCTCGGCGGGGCCCGGCGCAAAAAGCGCCACGGAGACCGGGCCCTGCCAGCGCCCCACCAGCTCCTGCAGCTGGTGCAGGTTGCTCAGGCTGGTGTGGGTGGCGAGCACCAGGTCGGGCGCCCGCCCCGCCCGCTCCGGGGGCCCCAGCATGTCCGTGTAGATCCGGTACTGCCCGCTGGCATCCAGCCGCCCGCCGCTGGCCAGGGCGCGCTTCAGCTGCTCCTTCTGCTGCTCGCTGGGCCGGCCGGGCGCCTCGCCCCGGCGCCCCCCGAACAGCTCCGAGTAGCGGGAGCGCTGCTGGCGGCCGTGGAGCCCCGAGAGCAGGGACAGGTAGAGCAGCTGCAGCAGGGCCGCCAGCGCCAGCGCCCACAGCAGCGCCTTGAAGAAGGAGCATCTGGCGGGGCCCTGCATCCCCACTCAGGCCCGGCGCGCCGCGCCCATGCTCGCCAGGGGGGACCGGCGCAGGCAGCGGGCGGCTGCAGCTCCCGGCCCTTCCATGCAGCCAGCCGGGGGCCGGGAATGGAGGCGCCCGTCGCTGCGGCAGCGCGCCACCTGCCCTAGGGAGGAGCCACTGCAGGCCGGCTCGCCACCGCGCCCCGCCCGCCGGGGACAGGGGGCGCCGGGGGAGTGTCGGGGGAGGGGGGGGTGGTTTTCTGACCATTGCACGGGACTGGCTCGCGCGCCTCCGGCTGCATCCGGGCCGGGCTCAGATGGGGCAAGGGGCAGACAGGGAGGGGGAGGGTGTCCGGGCAAGGGGATGTGTGCAAAAGGCAGCGCAGGGGGAATCAACCCCTCTGCACACAGACCCTCTGCGTCCCGTGCACTCTTGCCCCTGCTCATACACTCTCAGGGGTATGGCTGGGATGGCAAGAGAAACCTGACGTGAGAGACGAGGTGGCCGAGTGGTTAAGGCGATGGACTGCTAATCCATTGTGCTCTGCACGCGTGGGTTCGAATCCCACCCTCGTCGCTCCCTTTTTGGGAAGAAGAAGGTTCAACGTGCATTATTTTCTGGACTGATTCTGGAAGAAAGAGGGTGGGGGATGTTCGCAGCCTTACGGGTATGAGAGCTGCGTCTGCTGTTCAACTTGTCTCATTCTTCCTCCATTCATGCAATAAAGTCTCCTCTCAGCCCCTGGGGTTAACGCTGGCGGGGAGGGGTGTGCAATAAAATTCCCCCCTCAGTATCAGGGGCCCCAACAGGTGCATTTGGTGTGGGTGAAATGACACACTGGAACCCGGATAGCCCACAGTAGATCGAATGGGTGCAGGGGTCTATTGGGTGGTCGGCTGGGAATTGTATTAGACTCCCCAATACACTGCCCTAGGAATATGAAAGCGAGCTATTCGTGGGGTGCAGGTAGGGCAGCCAACAACCCCTGCTTAGACGAAGGCAGAGGGCAGGGGATCTGTCACTCACTGGAGGGGCCGAATGGGAGACCTCTGGATGGGATGGATGTTCCTCCTCATTCGGGCATAAGTGGGGCCTCGGTGTGTCCTCCCCCTTGAAAGATGTGGAAACTGAGGCAGAGAGCTGGGGAGGAACACACCCAGACAATCAGTGGCTGAACGGGGACTGGTTTCAGAGTAACAGCCGTGTTAGTCTGTATTCGCAAAAAGAAAAGGAGTACTTGTGGCACCTTAGAGACTAACCAATTTATTTGAGCATGAGCTTTCGTGAGCTACAGCTCACTTCATCGGATGCATACTGTGGAAACTGCAGAAGACGTTATATACACAGAGACCATGAAACAATACCTCCTCCCACCCCACTCTCCTGCTGGTAATAGCAGATCATCTAGTCTGAACTGCTGTATGGTCCAGGCCAGAGACTGCCACTGGTACCCCTGCACTGAGCCCGGTCACTTGGGTTTGATTACAGCATCTTCCCCCAAGGCAGCCAGGCTGGATTTGAAGACCCCAAGAGATGGAGAATCCACCACTTCCCTTGGCAGTTTGTGCTGCTGGTTAATCACCTGTTCTGTTAAAAACGGGTGCCTTATTTCTCCTTGGAACTCGTCTGGCTTCAGTTGTCACCTCTTGGTTCTTGTTTTGCCTTTCTCCGCTAGCTTAAAGAGCCTGTCAGTATTCAGTGTCTTCTCCCCATGAAGGTACTTAGACACCTAGATCAAGCCACCTCCTGATCTTCTGTTGGAGAAGCTAAATGGACTGAGCTCCTTTGTCTCTTGCTACAGCATTTTTCCCATTCATTTGTTTGGCTCTTTCTGCAACCTCTCCAATTTTTCAACAGCTTTTTTATAATGCGGCCCCCAGAGCTCCGTTAGGTCAAAGAGCCGGTGAGTACTTGGCCTTTTGTCCCCAGAAATGTATACACAGACTGTAACCCAGTCACCTCTCCTTTTTGGTAAGATGAACCGATAAAGCTTTTTAAGTCTCTCTCTCTCTCTAATGATTTTGCACACCCCGGGGTGACATCCATCTAATTTTCTAGTGGAGACCAGCCCTTAGCATAAACCAAGCCCAAGACACCAGCCAGGCATCTATAAAATTGATTCTCCAAACCATCTTTAACCACTGGCAGAGCCTGTCCAGCATCTTGTCTCCAATTGTGGCTGATCTCTGATGCTTCAGAGGAAGGGGGCAGGGGGGAATTATGCGTCAGGGAAAAAAAATTCCCTTCCTGACACCTGCAGGGAGTCAGCCGAAGCCCACAAGTATAATTTGATTAGTCAGTGTCAGGGCTGTGGGTCTAGGGAACCATGTGGGTGACTGGGCTGAGGTCTCTGACTGGAGCTGACTAGAGACAGAACTGCTCCTTAGGATCTGGTTTATGGGACTCCTGGTAGGAGGGATTACCTTGAGGGCTAGCTAACCCTTCCACTAGATGGCAAGTACGTATAATGTAAATAACTCACATGGAACAGTCCTAGATCTGCATGGCTCAGCTACCTGCTCCTACCTAGCGTAGGGGGTGGGGGCAGCAGTGGTACTGGGAGAAGGGGGAGATTTTTACACACACACACCCTGTCCCCTGCAGTAGTTTAGGCAAAACCAGCAAAGCAGTGCACAGGATGGCACATATCCACACCCAGCCCCACATTGCTATGGGATGGGGACTGTGAGCCTACAGAATACCTGCCCGCTTAGCCTTGGTTTCCCAGTTCCACCACCCCACAATTGCTCTCAGCGGTAAATGGGGAGTTAACCCACAGAGGCCAAGACAAAGCCTTTTAAAAAAACCTCATCACTTTTATTGAAAAAAAAAAAATCAAACTTATTAAAAAGAGCAAAAAGCAGCCTATGAAATACAGTAAAACAGCCACCCCAGCCCCACATACACAATAAAGCCAAAGGGGAAAAATGCCGCCATATCCTTCTCTCTCACAGGGATTTCTATTGCACCTGCCACCATGGTATCTGGGCACATCACAAAATGAATTGAATATACCCTCGTGCCCCAGGGAGGGCAGGGCAGTGCTAATATCTCCATTGTACAGATGGGGAAATTGAGGCACAGAGGCTAAGGGACATGCAGGGAATACAGGGCACAGCAGGGAACCAAACCCAGGTCTGCTGAGTCACCAGACCTGCCCATGAGCCACCCTTGAGCTCTTCCAGTAGCACAAAGCTGCCTGCTAGCAGCTGGGCCATGGCTACTGATGCCTGCTAGAGGAATCACTCCTTTGGCTCGGGAGGTCCAAGGTTCGGATCCAAAAGGGGGCGAATCTAACTACCATAAAGTCCTAAAGGTGCAGAGAAGAATCTGGGGGAAGACACAAAGGGGCAGAGGTTCCAGTGGAGAAATTAAACCTTTATGCACCAGAAAGATAACAACAAAAGAGGTTTCTTTCCCTTCTTTGGACGCTGCAGCAGGCAGTGCCCCAGGGCGCTGCCAGGAGGGGATGTGCCAGTCCTGGGGTGCTCATGGAGACCTGGCTGGCAGGCTGAAGAACTGGGGCCAGCAGGGGTTGGGAGGGAAGTCCCTTATCCAGGCCATGAGATTATTGTCCTTCAGCACCTTCCACTAAGGGACTCCAAAGTGCTTTACAAACGCAGATTACTCTGTATGTCGGTTTCCCCTGATGTGACCAGCTCTCAGCCCCTCCCTGAGCCCAGAGTAGAACCCAAGAGTCCTGGGTCTCAGCCACACCTACTCTACTATTATTTATCTAGCACCTAAGGCAGGGGGTTCTCAAACTGGAGGTCGTCGTGAGGTTATTACATGGGGGGTCATGAGCTCTCAACCTCCACCCCCAAACCTCTAGTATTTATAATAGTGTTAAATACACAAAAAAGTGTTTTTAATTTCTAAGGGGGGTTCGCACTCAGAAGCTTGCTGTGTGAAAGAGGTGACCAGGACAGAAGTTTGAGAACCACTGACCTAAAGCATAGTAGGCACTTTAGAGCCCAGACAAGACCTTGCCCCAAAGAGTTTACAATCAACTGGCCAGCATGCACCCCCCAGAGATGGTGACAGAACCCAGGTGTCCTTGCTCCCATCTCCTGTCCTACCCATTAGGCAATATTCCCTCTAAAGGCATTTGCCAGTCAGGAGCCAAGACCCTTATGGGGGTCAGGAGAGAGGGGATATTTAACCCTTTAGAGCCCAGCCAGCAGTCTGGCTTGGATGTGCGTTTCTGCAGCAGAGGCAAAGCCCCAGCAACCCTTGGGGTCCTCTCCTTCCTCAACCCCAGGGTGAAGGGGCAGGAGTTGGAGACAGAACCCAGGAGTCCTGGGCTCTATCTGAATCTCCAGGCAAAGTGGTATGCAATGGTGTCCCTTTGTGTAACCCATGACACCTCATGGGCTCAGGAGCCAGCCAAAATCAGCCCAGGAGCCCCACAAATAAATACATTAAAAACCCCGATATCTCTTTACATTAACCCTTTCCTCCCCCTCCACACCATTCTATAGACATTCCCTTTGCTGGAATTCCTATGGAATGGTGGTGGGGGGGCAACCCCTGATGGGGTATCTGCCTTGCAACAGGAGACAGGATACTAATCTTTACACCCACCAGGCTGAGATGATGCCCATGGAAAGAAAGGGGGAAGTCAAGAGGTACCAGCCCCCCTCCTATGCAAAGCCCCCCTGTCCCTCCTATTCCAAGCCCCCCAGTTTGATGGGGTGCACTCAGACGAGCCGCTGGTGATGGTGGATGCTGCAGAAAGATGAGGGATGGATCTGAGGGCTCACAGCAGGGCCTTGAGGAGGAAGGAGAGCCCCGCCCCACACGACAGCCCAAGTGCCAGGAAGAAGGTCATGATGGCTCCAGCCAGCTCGCTCTCCTGCGGCAGCACCTGCCTATGGGGCAAGAGAGGACACAGCTGAGAACCACACACCACTCCCCAACATGCAGAGAAACCCAGCACTGAGACGCAGCCACTTCTCGGGTGGGCTGTGAGAGCTGTTTACATCAGGATCCCTCTCCTTGAGCTGAGATGCCACTCTGACTGCGCTGGGAGAGCGCCCCCTACAGACCTCCCCCTGCAGTGCAGCACAGCACCCCCTAGCAGCACACTGGGGCATTGGGCTCAGCACTGACTGCGAGGGGAGAGCACCCCCTAGAAACCTTCCCCACCCTGTTTCCTGCAGTTCAGAAAAGCGCCCCCTAGCAGCACACTGGGGCATTGCGCTCAGCACTGACTGCGCTGGGAGAGCGCCCCCTACTGAGCCCCGACCCTGGGCAGCACTCACTTGGGGGCGAGGCACATGGTGAGCGAGACGAAGTAGCCATTGGAGAGGGAGAAAGGCAGCATGAAGAGGATGAACCAGGCATCCTGGTGGAAGAGCACGGGCAGGCGGGTGCGGGGCTCGGCCTGGCACAGCATCAGCAGAGGCACAAACAGGAAGCGCAGGCCCACCAGCAGGGGGAGTAGCCATAGCCTCTTCTCTGGCTGGAGAGCAGCAAGGGTGGGGGGGGGAGGTCAGAGTGGGAGGGAAACCTGGCAATCATGGGCTAATCTCCCCCATGCAGACCCAGTGCAGGATTGTGCCCCCCCAACGTCACCCACTCCATTAAGCCCTCCCTTTGCTCCAAAGGTTCACCGCCGATGGAGGCCGCCGATTTCCCCCCCCCCACCCCATCCCTGCCAATGAGTGCAGAGCTTGGCCAGGGGCTGGGTGTCCCCCCACTCACCCAGAGGCAGCATGAGGTGACGCTGCGGCCCATCCAGTCCATCACGTTGAACAACAAGAAGCAGCAGACAGGGGTGAAGAACTCACCTGCGTGAAGGGGGGAAGAGTTGGGGAACAGGACATGAGGCTTTCATCTCTAGGGGGCGCCTGCTCCAACCCAGCCCTGGGGCATCAAATCACAGCACCACCCAGAGCCAGGGATTCACGCCAGGAGTGCCGGCTCCCAGCCCCCCATGTTCTAACCGTGAGACCCCACTCCCTGTACTCACTCCACTGCCTGCTCTCCGAGGTGCTGGTGACGGTAGCAGTGATGGCAGGGAACACGGACAGGGTGACAGTGAAAACCATGACAATGCAGAGTGCCAGCAGCCAGATCTGCAGGGGGGTGGGAAGACAGTCAGAGCCAGCTGGGCCCCACCCCCAATAGCTCCAGAACCCCTCAATGAGACGCAGCTGCCTGCAGGGGGTAAGGCAGGGGCGGTTTACCCAGGGATCCCTTGCCTGGCACTGAGATGCAGCTACCTCTGGGATGGGGCATTGGGGCGGTTTATAGGGTACCACAGGGACTCTTCCCCCAATCCCCCTTACCTTTCGGAGCACACCGAACACCGACGGTCTCTCTGGTCCCGGCCCTCTGTTCTGGGAATTGGCGGCAGTCCCATTGTGCAGGGCGAAGGCTCCCTTCCCGGAGCTCTCCACGCTGATCTCTTCCAATGTCCTGAACGTCCCATTAACCATTCCCACCATTGGCTTCTCCGGGCCCTGCGGCTCCTCCCCAGGCCTCTCCAACTGGTCCCCACTCTGTTCCTCTGGGGACACAGGGAAGAGAGGCAGTGTACAGAGATCCCAGAGGTCTTCAGCTAGCCTGGGCATAGCGAGGGGTTTGGACACCACCCTTTACAGCGCAAGGGCGTATGATAAAGTGCCTGGGTGTACCAGGGGGTGTGACACCCCATATGGCGTGCAACAGGGTGTGTGTGCAAGGTGTCAGCACAGCACGTGGGCACATGAGGAGCCGGGGCAAGGTGGGTGAGCACGTGGGTGTGAGCGGCCTCACCTGCCCTCTCGCACCCTGCCCACCAATGAGCCCTCTCCCAAGCTGCGGGCAGCGAGGTGTCCCCCTGCTGCAAAGGGCCTTACAACTCCCCAGGGCCTAGCGTACCAGGGCCCAGCAGCCCAGCCTTGGTCTCCAACTCATTGCGTGGGTCACGCTGCCAACTCCGCTCCATGTAGTGACGGAAGAAAGCCTGCAGGGGGCGACAGGACAGGAGCAGGTCTGTGGAAGGGGCACACATCTGACCCCAGGGCACCACACCCATGTCCCTACAATCCCCCCATTGCTAATACACAACCCCCCGGCTGTTACACACTGCCCCCCACTCCCCCAACAGCCCCATCCCAAAGCCCTAACCTCCCCCACATGGGTCCAGCCAGCTAGGGACACTGCTGGGACACTGCTTTTATAAGCCCCCAACCCTCTGGGGCCTGGCACACCCACACCCACTGCTTGCATCCCCAGCCGGCTTGGAGCCAGCGCCCCCCAGAGGGGAAAGTCCCTATGCCACATTCCCCGCCCCGGCGGTGCAGCATCTCACCATACGGGGCAGCATCAGATAGCAGACAATGGAGATCAGGGTCCCGACACAGGGGGTGATGAAGTAGCTCAGGGCAGACGTCTGCGCATCCACACCACCTGAAACAGCCAGCACAGCACGTGGAGCAACAGCGCGCAGACAGCACGATGGGGCGCTGAGCCCAATGTCCCAGTGCAGCACTAGGGGGCGCTGTGCTGCAGGGAGGGAGGACTCAGTAGGGGGCGCTCTCCCCTCACACTCAGTGCTAGGGCTGGGGCTCAGTTGGGGAGCAGGAGAGGGGCTGCGGGTGGCGAGGCGGATCCCCGTCATACTCACTAGCCATGGAAAGCAGCATGGCACTGGCGGCGAAGGTCCCGGCCATGCCCTGGCCACTCAGGAAGCGTGTGCTGTAGCCCTGGGGCAGAGTGCCCAGCTGCCCGAACAGGCTGCCTTGCAGGACAGCGCAGAAGGCTAGGTAGAGACACAGTGGGTCAGAACTGCCCCCACGGCCCGGGGACCCCCAGTGCCATGGGAGGAGGAGGCGGGAATACTGAGCCCAGCCCCCTCCCTGCCAATCCCCTGGGAGTTAACCCTTAGCTCCCCCCCCCCCCCCCACAAAAAATACACCATGCCCTCGCTGCCCCCTCCCCATCATCAGTCGCATCTCCCACGTGGGTGCACAACCCCCCCAGCTCCCTTTTGGCTCCAATCTCCCTACACTCAGTGGGCTATGAGTCACTGTATTTGGCCCCATAGGGGCACAATGGAAGGAGAAGCTTTGCAGGCCCGCTCCCCACCCTCCCAAGCCAACCAGCCCCTCAGCCTTGGGGCTCCGGAGAGGGGAAAGCCCGTGTCCCATTCCCCGCCTCCACTCACAGTTAATGAACCACACAGAGCCTATGGTGATGGAGAAGAAGCTGTGGGGGGGCATTTCCACCCTGACCAGCACGGCCGTGAGGATGAAGAGGAGGAGGATGCCACTCATGCTGCCGAGGACCCGCACCTTGTCCGGGATGCTGCGGGGGAGGGGGAGCAGGTCAGAGCCCCAGGGGTCTCACCCATCACTCCGGGGCTGACTCAATGTTGGGCCGCTGGTGCCTTGTCACCCCATCAGCCCTGACTGCAGGGGGGCCAGCTCAACGAGACCACAGGGGTGTGTGGGAGGGAGAGGGACCCTCTGGCTTCCCTGCTAGCCCCTGCGGTGGGGATGGGGCACTGACGCTGTTTATAAAGGGACCCCACCCATCCCGGTGCTGAGGTTGTCAGGATTAGAAGCCCCTGGAACTGCAGGGCGCTGCGGGTCAGAGCTAGGGGTGAGTGGGGGAGCCTGAGGCTGGGATCGCAAGGGGCTGGAGTCAGGACTGAGAGGCACCGGCAGAGCTGGGAGGAGGGGGAACCCCGGGCTGGGGTCAGGACTGAGACGCCCCGGCAGAGCTGGGGGGTGGGGAGGAGCCCCGGGCTGGGATCGCAGGGGGCTGGGATCAGGACTGAGAAGCCCTGGCAGGACCAAGGTCTCTCACCATTGGTAGAGGAAGGAGTTGAGCAGGGTGAAGAGAAGCAGCGGAAGCTGGGAGAGCAGCGTGAGCCAGTTGTTGAAGTCAAAGTCATCCCGGGCTGGGGCTGGCTGCATCCCAGAGCTGTTCCCACCCGGGCCCACGGACAAGCTGGTCCCCACAATTAGCCGGGCCTGGAAATACTGTGGGGTAGAGACGAGGTGAGATGGGGCTGCAGCCCTGCTGCCCACACAGCCCCAGGGGCACCTCCCACACTGAGCCACCCTCCCCTAAGCCCCGGCAAAGACCCCCACATGCAGGGCTGCACACCTGTCCCTCCCTTAGCCCAGCACCCCACTTCCCCTCCTCCTCCCCGCAGCACTGTACCTGCCCCTTGCCTACACCAGCCCCCTCAGCCCCTCCCATCCCCCCAGAGCTCCATGGCACTCAGGGTCGGTACCGGGATGGCCGTGATGAAGAAGTTCCAGGGCAGGAGGGTGCCCAGACCCAGGATGAAGATGATGATTCCTACAGCATGAAACCTGGGGGAGAGACACCATCACCATGGGAACAAGGCCTTCCCCCTCTAGGGGGCACTGGCTCTGACCCCGCCCCAGGCTGGTGGGGGACTGGCATCTGGGGCATTTCCCTTCTGTGGGCACAGAGAGGGACTCAGTCTTGGTGGCACGTTCAGTCCCCGGTCAGCCAGCTGGGGCTCCCTCCTGAGGGACTGGGCTGAGCCCAGCAAACTTGCCTCAGATGGGGCCCCGATTGGGGATGGTTTCCATTTAGGACCCAGCTATGTGGGGTGCAGGGACTAGAATCCTCATGGACCTCCCCGCTCCAATCCAGGCTACCAAGCCAGGCACCCTCCCCGCCTGCCACCACCCTCTTTCCTGGCTCTGCTGCTCACACCTGGACAGGTAAATCTCTTTCCCAACTTAGAGATCTGCAATTCTCCACCCACTCCTCCCCCAAGCTGCCCCCAGAGTGGGATGGGGTGGGGACTGCACACTGCCTTACGTCCGAGCCAGGGATAGAACCCAGAGTCCCCTGGCTGCCAGCTCTCCCCTCCTCCGCCTGCCTGCTCTAACCCACCATACCCCACTCCCCTCCCAGAACTGGGGATAGAACCCCGGAGTCCTGGCTCCCAGCCCCCATCTGCTTGAACCACTAACCCCACTCCCCTTGCTCTGCAGTCATTTCTCATTAGCTCCAGGGAGCACTGACTGCATAGCTAATGGGGGTCCCCTCCCTGAGGGCCTGCGGGGATGGGTCAGGGTGGTGGTGTTAGGCATGGTCCGCGGCTCGACCCCTCCTCCTGCCCCCATTATGGGCGGGTTCAGGGAGCACGAGTGCCTTGGTTTGACCAAGGTTTTACCGAGTGGGCAGGGTGGCCACTTATCTCCCACCCTGCTCCTTTACTCCCAGGGTGTCCATGGGGCAGCCCCTTTTCCTCCCCAGCCCACATATGAGTCTGGCACAGAACCCAGGTGTCCTGACTCCCAGCCTCTCTCACCCCTCCCCACCTGAGCCCCACAGGACACAGCCCCTGGGGGATGGTGGTCCCAGAGTACGTCCCCTGCCCAGGCAGAGCTCCACCCCCACACGGAGGGTGCCCAGGGTCTGTTGTTGGCAAAGGGGAGCTGCCACTCACTGGTCCTTGGGCTTGTCCTGTCGAGCCATCTGGGTACTGTGGGGGATGTCTCCGGGCCTTGTGGGGAGGGAGGGGGCAGTGGACAGCCCTGGCTGGTTCCCTGCAGCACCTAGAACAAAAAAACTCTTAATAACAGGGAGGGAGCAGCCCTCAACCCACCAAGGAGCCCTGGGGGATGGAAAAACACAACCCATGGAGGGGGGACGGGCTTAAGGAGAAACCTGCTCATACAGGGGCCTCACAGGGAGGCTCCCAGCTCCGCTGTGGAAGGCAGGTGAAGACAGAGGCCAGCTAACCCCAGGAACAGAAAAAACAGCCCTTGGGTACCCACGTTTCCTTCCAAAGCTAGGATAGGCCCCAGGAATATGGACACCTGTCCCAGCCCCTGTCCCCTCCCAGAGCTGGGATAGAACCCAGGCTCCTGCCCCTAACTCACTAGACCTCACTCTGCTCCTCAAGCTGGGCATAACACCCAGGAGTTCTGGCTCCTGAGTGCCCCCTACTGAGCACCCTGCAGCACAGCACCCCCCAGCTCCGCACTGGGGCATCGAGACCAGCACACACTGTGATGGGAGAACACCCCCTACCAAGCCCCCATGCACTCCTGCGGCACTGCACCCCCAGCAATGCACTGGGGCACTGCATCCAGCAGTGACACCTAGGGGAGAATGCCCCCTACAGAGACCCTGCCCTGTTCTCTGTAGGACAGCGCCCCCTAGTACCAACTAGGGGCATTGGGCCAGCAGTGACTGTGGGGGGGGGGGGGGGGGGGGAGGCCAGCGCAGCACCCCTAGCACCAGGCCTGCTTGTGAGATTCTCCACCGCATCTCAGCGTGGAGCAGGCATATTTTGAGTCAATGGCAAGGGGGGAGTGACTGTCAGTGCCTCCCAGCGCTGGCAACAGACCCGACCCAGGCTTTATTCTATACAGAGCTCCCATTACCTGCTGGGAATCGGCAGGGCATGCCACTGGCAAACAGCCACAAGTCTCTTCCCTAGCCTGAGGGCCCTGCCTTTGCCTGAGGCATCTCAAGCCCGAAGGACGTGTCCCAGCCTTGCTTCAGGTTGTGTCTGTGGTGGGGATGAGGCTACAAGCTGCTTTCGCAGCTGTCAGTCAGTTGGGGGTGCCTCTAGGTTCCCCTCTGACCAGCTAAAACAAAACATCACTCCAGCCTGCACAATCTAAACTGAGGGTTTTAACAGGAGACTTGTCTGCACTTTGAAATTTACCAAAATCTCTTCGGGACTGCTCAGCCAACGGTCAAATTAAGACATCAGACCGAACCGGAGAATTCCCTAGGCAGGATTGGGAGCCTGACACTTCCCATTATAGGACGCTATTGTTAAGTGCTTAAAACTTTGCTAGACTTTAACCAGACAGGCTGAAATTTCACACTCATGTCATCAGGCCAAATATTTTGGGAAAATTTCAGCCAAAACAGCTCCGCCATCTTAAAGAATGAGGTTAGGGAACAATGTATGGTTTTGCCCATGTTAACTATATATACACACATATTTTGGAGACCTTTACTTTGGCTCTAGCATCCCCATGCTTTGCAGCAGGGACTTTATTTGGCAGAGTGGGCTGTCTGCCAGGGCTGTGCCTTTTGCAATCCCCTCGAAAATCCATCTACCCAAATTTGAAAATATTGCAGTTCACATGTGCTCAGTAGAGCCTCCTTAGAGCTTAACTAACATTTCTAAGAATCCATCCTCACTGGGCATGCTCCATCCTCACAGAGGGCTTGAGCATTCTCCCTCCAGCTCAGGTCTATGGGGCAAAACTAGACCTTTTCCAGGCACTGGAATTGAGAGCCTCTCTCTCTTGGGCGGTCAGTGGGCCCCTTACTGGCACCCAGGCAGAGCGGAGGAGTAAATCACCCAATTCAAATACAGAGGGGACAAGACCCAGATCAGGCGGAATGAAAGGAGTAGACTGGGACAAGGAGCTGGAGGATCAGAGGTCTGCGGAGTGGAGATTGGGACTGACTAGGTGAGGCGAATGGGAGTGGGACAGATTGGAGGGGAGGGGACAGAAGGGGTCAAGCTTGAGGAAAAGGGGCAAGAGCCAGGATCACACTCCTCCCTAGAGCTTGGAATAGAACCTGAGATTCCAGGGTCTGCTGACAGCTGAGGAATGGTGAGACAGCTGTGAAATACAATGGCAAAGTATCCCACCCCCCTGGGCCACATAGAAGAGAACAGCTATCAATTACTCAATAAGCTCAAGCGGCAGGGACTCCCTGCTGATAACCCATGTGGGTGTCAATAAGATGCCAAATGATAGAATTGGCATTTTTTTTAAAACCTAGCCAATTACACAAAAAAAATGGTGTGAAAAGAACATTAGCAAGGTTGGAAGGTCAAGCACTAGGAAGTTCCAGAATTAAGGTTGCCCGTGCAGCCTCAATTCAGCCCCTTGTGCGTATTGGATCTGATAGAGTCTTTAACCACAGTCTGTTTTTCCACACAAGCCCCTGCTGCATTCAGCACACAGGCCGGACCTGCTCTGGGGATGAATTAGAGGTGTGTGGTGAAGGAGGCTGTTGTTCGTGGGACCCTGCCTCCTTTGTTGTAGCAGCTGGCAAGTGAGCAGTGGAGGAGGCAGGGGGCTGCAGGGAGAGGAAGGAGGGGCTCATTATTCAAGTAGGTGAATGCTGCTGTGGAGCACTGGAGTCTGCCCCTGCCTCTGCCACCGAGTTCCTGCGGGCTGCCGGGCAAGTCACTTCACCCAGACTTTAGTGATTGCTAATTGTGTGTTCCTCATTTTCTGGGTGTCTGACTTGAGAGCTTAGGGTCAGATCTGCAGAAGCGCTGAGCACTCACCGCTGCAATTGAAATCAGTGGGAGCTGGGGTTTGAACATATGTTGTTCTATGCAGTGCTAATGGCACTGAGGAAACAGATTGTAGCTGACTCAGTGGGTACCCAAAATTAGTGGATACACTTGACCCTAATCGTTCAGTGCCTCACCTGTAACATGGGGGTAATACCCGCCTCTCGCTTATAGAAGTGTTGAGAAGATAAATTCATCAATATTTGACAGGCTCTCAGATACTCTATTTCTGCACGCCATAGAAAAGCCCAGGAGGAAATCAGCAATTCTCTATTCAGGGCAGGGGCTGGGTGGTGTACCCAGGAAGAAGGCCTGGGCACCCATCGAACAGTGAGGAGGAAACAAAATATTGAAGAGCCGCTTGTTTGACTGGCCAGAGGTCACCTGAGCACTGAATGAAGCAGGGTCCTGTGGAGGAAAATAGCATACCGTCATGAAGTTAAAGCCTGTAACATAATGCAGACACCCAGGAGGGCTGACTTGTACCCCTTGTGTGGCTGCAGCTGTCCTGGCACAGAGGTGCATCTAGCACCCACATGGTGCCCTGTTTTCGAACAATGACATTGATTGAGACTAACCAGGAAGAAGAAAAATACCAGAACTTCCCCCCACCACACTCTCCCAAGTCACCCCCCCATACCATCATGCACACACTCTGTAGCCACACACCAACACCCCCATATTCACTCTGTACACTGCTATGACACCCCTCATTGCCCCCCAAACCTCCCCACAGGAGGGGAACCGAACCTCCACGACAATCCAGCCACCCCCCACGTCCCAACAGCACACTCCAACTGCCCCCTTTACCACCCCTCTGAGGCACCCCGACAATGCAGACCCCCCCCCCCCCAAGCCAGTGACCCCCAGCACAGCCATTACCCTCTATCTCCGGCTGAAATGCCTCTGCACTCCCTCAAGGGCAAAGGGGAGAGTCCTGCCCCCTTACAAAGCCCCCGAGGTCACACGGGGAACGTGTCTTCCGGCTGCGCCGCAGCGCTGCCCAGTGCGACCACGTGTGAAAACGGAACCGCTACGCTGCAGGGGGCAGCGACATGGTACCGGGCGGCCAGAGGGGTCGGAACCGGTTTGTTCCCTTCGCCCCAGCCCCGCGGAGCCGGCCGGACCCGACCCCCCAGCACGGGGGGTGGGAGAGGGAAGCAATCAGCCGGGCTGAGGCTCCATGGCCCCCAAGGCCGTTGCGACTTCACCAGCTAGCGCAGCCCCGTCTCCGTGCGGCGGCGGGTGTGCGCCGGAAACAGCCCAGCCCCGCATCCACTTGCCGCCTCGCCCCGCCCCCGGGGTCCCCTAAAGAAGGGTCCGGACCCCAGCGGCCCTTCCCGCCGGCCGGGGATTGGCTGGGCCCTGGCCGGGGCGGGGGTCACTGACACCCCACGGAACACGCAGCGCCGGGGAGCGGAGCAGTTTTAGCCTGGGCTAGCCCCGCCCCCGCCCCCTGGGATCCCCCCGCCCCGGGAAGGCGCGTTCCAAAGGGTGACGCTGCCCGCGGTAGCACCCCCCCGCCAGGTAAATCTGACGCAGCCCGTCCCGACTCACCTGGGCTTAGGGGAGAGGGAGCTGAAGTGGAAGGAAATCGGGTTTAGCAACATGGTCCTCGGATCGGGGGCGGTGAGGTCCCTGCTCTGGGGCGCTGCCCCCACCCCGTGCCAGGATCGCAGGGGGGGTCCCCGCTCTGGGGCGCTGCCCCCACCCCGTGCCCGGATCGCAGGGGGGTCCCCGCTCTGGGGCGCTGCCCCCACCCCGTGCCCGGATCGAGGGTCTGGGGCTGCCCCCACCCCGTGCCCGGATCGCAGGGGGTCCCCGCTCTGGGGCGCTGCCCCCACCCCGTGCCCGGATCGCAGGGGGGTCCCCGCTCTGGGGCGCTGCCCCCACCCCGTGCCCGGATCGCAGGGGGGTCCCCGCTCTGGGGCGCTGCCCCCACCCCGTGCCCGGATCGCAGGGGGGTCCCCGCTCTGGGGCGCTGCCGCCACCCCGTGCCAGGATCGCAGGGGGGGTCCCTGCTCTGGGGCGATGCCCCCCATGCCCGGATTGCGGCGGGGCTCCGGGCACCCCCCTGTGGTGCACAGAGAGGCCCTGTTCCCGGGAGGCGGGCAGTGCCAGGCGCTCACTCACCTCCACTTGTTGTTGTTCTTGGTACTTCCCGTTCCCGCCAAAACATGGAAATTTTGACGGGGGGCGGGGCCAGGCTGCATTCTCCAATCACAACCCGCCTACCCCCTCGACCCTTCCTTCTCCAGTCACATCCCACTCCCCTGCAAACCGCTTCCCACTGTAGCTGCCCTGAGCCCCCCGTCCCCAGTCACACACTGCTCCCCCTGGATCCCAGCGGCTCCTGCTGGGACTCTGGGAAAGGGGGTCTCTGCCCTGCTCCACCACTCACCCTGATTGGTGACCTCAGGTAATTTCCTTCCCCTCTCGGTGCCTCAGTTTCCCCCTCCGCTTTTGTCTATCCAGACTGTGAGCTCTTTGAGGCCAGGACTGTCTCTCCCTGTGTCTCTGTGCTGGGCCCATGGGGCCCCTGGTTCACTCAGCACCCAGCACACTCTTCGCAATGTAGGGCTGGAAGAGACCATGAGAGGTCAGCTAGTCCAGCCCCCTGCACTGCAGCAGGCTCCAGGGAGGTCCCTGATAGATGTTTGTCCAACCAGGTCTTAAAAACCTCCAGTGATGGGGGTGCCACAACCTCCCTGGGGGACCTGTTCCGGGGCTTAACTAGCCTTGGGGTTAGCAAGTTTTCCTGAATGTCAAACCTCAATTTCCCTTTCTGCAAACTAAGCTGATTACTTGTCCCATCCTGGTGGTCACAGAGAACAACTGATCACCATCCTCTTTATAACAGCCCTTAGCATAGGTGAACCCCTTTATCTGGTCCCCCTTCCATTGTCTTTTCTCAAGACTAAACGGGCCCAATTTTTAAAAACTTGCCTCACGGGCCGGGTTTTCTAAACCTCTCATTGTTTCTGTTGCTCTCCTCTGGACTCTCTCCAATTTGTTCACATCTTTCCTGCTGTGCAGCACCCAGAACTGGACACAGCTCTCCAGCTGAGACCTCCCCAGTGCCCGGCAGTGTGGGGCAGATACCGCCTGTGTCCTACATACAACACTTAGAATCATAGAATATCAGGGTTGGAAGGGACCTCTGGAGGTCATCTAGTCCAACCCCCTGCTTAAAGCAGGACCAATCCACAAGTTTTTGCCCCAGATCCCTAAATGGCCCCCTCAAGGATTGAACTCACAACCCTGGGTTTAGCAGGCCAATGCTCAAACCACTGAGCTATCCCCCCCCTGCATGGCCCCTTTTAATCCTGTCCTTTTCTGCAGGGCTGGGAGAGGTCACAAGCAAGCAGGTATCTCCTAGGGACATCTCTTTCCAGCTGTCTGTTTCTGCACCCATACACAGCCCCTGGGCTCTCTAGTGACTCTTCTTTTTTATCTCCAGGCCTGCACTGACTTTTTAAAATTATTTGTGTATTTAGGTAGGAAGTTTTAACAAGCTTACAAATCCTTGCCATGTAAATTTCAGAAACCCAACAATCATTACAACAGCTAGCTTTTGTACGGGGTTGTAGTCATCAAATCTTTCTGTTTAACAGCGTGTTACCATATTACAGAGTGCGCTTTGCTACAACACCTGGAATATGTCCCTTCTAGCGATAAACGGAGTGAAATCTCTATACGCACCTATTTAACTGACCAGGCATGTCTATCAAATGTTAATAGTCACAACATTTGGACAAGCATGCTGAGGTTTTTTTGCAGGTGACTTTGTCTGAGTATTGAGTAAAAAGTAAGCAAATATCTATCCGTTCTCTGTCTATTTTGCTGGGTACGTAATTGGTGTATTAATTTCCCCCTAATCTCAATCTCCCATATTTTTTAGATAAGTTCCTGCAGGACAGGTCCATCAATGGCTGTTAACCAAGATGGTCAGTGGTGCAGCCCCCGTATTCCAGGTGTCCCTAAACCTCCAACTGCCAGAAACTGGGATGGGGGCTGGATTGCTTGATAATTGCCCTGTTCTGGTCATTCTCTCTGACGCATCTGGCACCAGCCACTGTCGGAAGACAGGATAGTGAACTAGAGCAGTGGCTCTCAACCTTTCCAGGCTATTGTACGCCTTTCCGGAATCTGATTTGCCTTGCGTACCCCTAAGTTTTGCTTCATTTTAAAACTACTTGCTTACAAAATCAGACAAGTGCCACAGCACACTATGACTGAAAAGCAGCTGACTATCTCATTTTTACCATATAATTATAAAATTAATCCATTGGAATATAAATATTGTACTTACATTTCAGCGTATAGTATATAGCAGCAGTTCTCAAACTTTACAACCTGAGGCCCCACATTTTGATTTAAAATTTTTCATGGACCCCACAAGCCGCCTCCCCAGCCCCAGCCCCCCCCCCCACTCTACCCCTTCCCCCAAGACCCCACTCCTGCCCCACCTCTTCCCACCCCCACTCCACCCCTGCCCTGCCTCTTCCCCGCCTCTTTCCGCCTCCTCCCCCTCCCTCCCAGCACCTCCCACATGCCGCTGAACAGCTGTTCCCCGGTGTGCAGGAGGCACTGGGATGAAGGGGGAGGAGTTGATCAGTGTAGCCAGCAGACCCCTTGGAGTACCCTTGCAGACCCCCAGGGGTCAGTGGACCCCAGTTTGAGAAATACTGGTATATAGAGCAGTATAAACAAGTCATTATCTGTATGAAATTTTAGTTTGTACTGCTAGTACTTTTTTATGTAGCCTGTTGTAAAACTAGGCAAATAGCTAGATGTGTTGATGTACCCCCTGGAAGAACTCTACGTACTCCTGGTTGAGAACTACTGGGCTAGCTGGATCATCGGTCTGACCCAGCGTGGCCATTCTTATGTTCTTAATAATTCCTCTGGAATTGGAAAAGGTTCAGAAAAGGGCAACAAAAATGATTAGGGGTATGGAATGGCTTCTGTATGAGGAGAGATTAATAAGACTGGGACTTTTCAGCTTGGAAAAGAGATGGCTAAGGGGAGATATGAATGAGGTCTATAAAATCATGACTGGTGTAGAGAAAGTAGATAAGGAAGTGTTGTTTACTACTGCTCATAACACAAGAACTAGGGGTCACCAAGTGAAATGAATAGACAGCAGGTTTAAAACAAACAAAAGGAAGTATTTCTTCACACAACGCACAGTCAACCTGTGGAACTCCTTGCCAGAGGATGTAGTGAAGGCCAAGACTATAACAGGATTCAAAAAAGAACTAGATAAGTTCATGGAGGATAGGTCTATCAATGGCTATTAGCCAGGACGGGCAGGGATGGTGTCCCTAGCCTCTGTTTGCCAGAAGCTGGGAATGGGTGACAGGGGATGGATAACTTGATGATTACCTGTTCTGTTCATTCCCTCTGGGGCACCTGGCACTGGCTGCTGTCAGAAGACAGGATACTGGACTAGATGGACCTTTGGTCTGACCCAGTATGGCCGTTCTTATGTTCTTATGTTCTCTGTGACTGGGCTAATTTTCTTTTTCCCGTTAGAGGCTACCAATAACCGAGCATCTAGGAGATGATGAGAGCTTAATTCTTCATTTCTTCTTGTGTGGCCATTTCCACTAGGAGGAGTATTACCAAACAATCACTTGGTAATAAATATGGGCCTGGACTGATTTTAACCATACAACCTATCTGCCAGGTATCTACACTGGGGAGGAGGGCTGAATGAGTCCCAGGTGGACCTGGACCCATTACCTCTTAAAGGGGCCAGTCAGCTGGTGACAACATCCCAGAAAAAGATTTGCCTTTTCCAAAACAGCTTCATGTTGTTGGCTCGCATTTAATTTGTGATCCACTATCACCCCCTGATCCTCTTCCGTAGTACCGCTGCCTAGCCAGTGAGTCCCATGGTGTATCTGTGCCTTTGCTTTTCCTGCCTACATGCCATACTTTGTACTTGCCTTTGCTGAATTTCCTCTTGTTGATTTCAGACCAATTCTCCAACTTCTCAAGATCATTCTAATTCTAATCTTGTCCTTGCAGTGCTGGCAGCCCCTCCCAGCAACTTTTATCAGCATACTCTCCACGTCACCAGCCAAGTCATTCATTACAATTTTGAACAGTACTCAACCCAAGACAGACCCCTGAGGGCTCTGACTTGATATGGCCTCGCAGTCTGACTGTAAACCATCAAGAATTACCCTTTGAGTATGCTCTTTCAACCAGTTGTGCACCTGCCTGATAGGAATCTCATCTAGACCGTATTGCCCTAGTTT